TGTCTTATAAGCATACATATGAAATAGTTTAACTGCACCATATATCTCTTGTAAGTTTATTTTCATTAATCTGTATAAATGATAATAAATTATGATCTAATTGAAAAGCATTTGTGAACTTTCTGATTAATTACTGGGTCAAAAAGAGGTTTACCGTCATCTATTTTTTATAATAGAAAACAAACAAAAACCTTAGTATGTAGTGTATAGTTTTCACATCAATATGTTAAGTTGTGTAGGTTAAAGTTATTTTGGAAAAAATTCTGATTGCGATGGCATCATTTCTATTTTATCTATATAATCCTTTTGCTTTTTCTTCTCATAAATTATTTTTTCTATAAACCTTTTCTCACAAGTCATTTGCGTTAAATTATTCTCAGAAAAGATTTGGTGTGAACAAAAGTTAAGTTACTAAACAGTTATGCGGGAAAAGAGAGGTTAATGTATTATGATGTAGATAGAATAATGTCTGGAAAATATATTTTTAGTTACTTAAAATATTGTTAAATGGATAACCAAATTCAAAATTCAGATCTATATATTTGTATACTTTAGAATTATTGATAAATAATATTCCACCTGAAAAGCGCCATCATTCAATGGGAACAAAATCTTTTTGTTGAATGTACGTACTATAAAGGTTGAAATTCGAAGAACATTACTAGAATATTTGTTTTGTGAGGTATGATCACACAAAAGAATGAAATCTGTTATTTTATTTTATTTTGAATAAGACATGATTGTCTAACAAACTTCCTTAATTCCTTAGTGGTTGAAGTTATTGTCTTAGATTTGTTACATTAGATATAAGGTTAAGATATGAAACCTTTACACTTTTTCTAAAAACAATTACAGCTTTTACATAAATTATGGTTTCAGTTTTTTTTTAAGTTTAGCAAATGAAAACACTGGAAACCTACCACAGTCTTTAAAATATAATTGATTTAAAGTCTTTCTAAAAGAGAAATTCAATAAAAAGTTTCATAACTGTTACCATTTATACTTTTTACCATTAGCTATGATAGTCTACCCTATTGGTTGATAACTCAAATTTCGAAGATATACATGGCTCAAGTCTTGGTGTATAATTTTCATGTAATTAGAACGTTTTTTTAATTAAAGTATTCGGAAAAAGTATCCAATGTGTAGTGTGCATTGTATATATGATCTAGCTATATCAATTGGTGGAAAAAAAGAAAATTAAATAATCAACAGACTGTGTTTTTCAATAGTCAATTCACAACTAGTATTGAATTGGAATAATTTGAATCAAACTGATTTGATATGAACAGTCCAGAGTTGAAATTACAAAAAAAAAAAATGTATATTTTGAAAATATAAATTTGGTGGTGCTAGTGGTGTACTTATATAAATCTGTCATCGAATTTTCAGGTGAAAACTATTTGCTTTTTATCACAATCCACCAAAACTTTATCATAAACGAACTAACGAATAATGGGAATTTAATAGCTTACAGATGATTAATTAGTTCATTTTAAAAACTATAATTCTTAAAACTAAGGTGCGATTCCTTAGTTTCTCTATCAATCGAGAGAAATTGGTTTTTATTTTTTTATCATTCAAGAAATTCCAAACCTAAAGGTTCTTATATTTTCTTCGGCTAGAACGAGCAGCTTGAGATTCTTCAAGCAGCACCAAAATCCAGAGAAGCACAAGTTTTCACTTTTTTGGAAGAACCATGCTTACACCACTAAATCAAATCACAAGGCTAGTAAACATAGGTTTTTGGTTCAGCAATAAGAATTTTAGGTTTGGAGTATGTTAATTGTACATATTTGATTATTTGAATGATGTTTTTATATAACGTGTAAATTTTAGAGAAATACCTTGAAATATCACATTTTAATTTTTGTTCCAAATGTATTATCATTAGTTTATGTTCTCATTAATACCACAAATTATTATGTGAACAAAATTTATCTGAAATAATTTTTCAAAATTATATGATTTCCTCATTTCCAATTTAGTTTAGACAATTCCCCTTAAAGTCATTTTAATTTATAATTTTATTATTTGGATCCACTAACTTAACATGTTTATATAATAAATTTCAATTATAGATTTTTTATTTTGTTAAAAAATATGCATAAACATAGCAAAAAAACAAATCTATGAAATATCTAGTTAATTAGTTATATACAGATATTCTCGAAGCATGTGTGTGTGTGTTTTTATTAATTAGACCGTAGTTCTAATTGCCGTGAAGGTGTCTGCATTGACCATTCAATAGCCAAATCCGTACCTAACTACCTACATATATACGATGTGAATATTATAAAGTTTATTATTTTTATAAGAATATGATGCTCCGCAATGGTTGCTGCAACACATTAATGTTTCATAATTTTAAAAGTGAGGGAAGTTCTGCCACATTTAATGTTGTAAGAGTTGGACATTCTATAATTTTCGTATTTAGCTCTTTCTTTTCAATCTCTACTGGGTTTTTTTTTCCACATACAACTATATGAATTTACAATGATGTAAATAAAAAGCATGCTGTGTTATTTTAACTTTATTAGCATAACAGTTTAAATAATTACTGCAGATACAATCTTTAAAAATTATTGAAATTATTAGAAAATGTGAAATAGTCGTTACAGTATTTTCTTAAATAAAAATATGTTTAAACGTAAACTCTATTATTTTGTCTTAACAACATAAATAAATTCTAACAGGTAGTACATAACAGAGATTATGATTCAAAAGAAATTGAATTTGATTTCAAATAAAATCTATATTAACATGGTGTCTGTCTTTCTTAAGTGCATTTAACGTTGGTTTCAGATAAAATAACATAAAACATGGTTCGATATTGAGTACACCGGTTTTTGGGTTTGTTGGGAACCCTACGAGAAATCAAGAATCTAATACTAATAGTTTAATATTTTTGCCATTAATGGAGAATGCTTATATTAACATACTTGTAATTAATCACATTTTAATGAAAAATCAAAAATGATATACAGAAACATCTTTGTGGGTTTCAAGAAAATTAAGATCAAATGTCGTTTTCTTAGAGATTTCTATTCCCTATGGAGGTATCTTGCCGATCTCAAGGCCTAAGTCATCAGCACTAATAGTAATAACCATTATGTCAAGATGATTTAACATATGGTTTAATTTGAATATGTTCATTATTGTAGTCTGTTGTAATTAATTTACAGTTATCCTTCAAATCATTTGTCGGCAAGATTTTAGAGTCAATCAAATATTGAAGCATTAAAACTTTCTTATTTATTCTCTACCCTTCACCCTTATTACGTTGTGATGTTTTTTTTCTTATTTAAACTTTCTTATTTGTGATTTCTTATAAATTAATATAGCGAAATTATATTTTAAATTGAGGCCTTTGGTTGGGTTTGGGCTTTTTTTTAATCTTCCGATTTCACGAAAAAACACCACAACGTAGTTCGCGTTAAAATACAACATTGGAAATTACAATTTTATTCCCAACTTGATTGACTAACGATGGAAGGAAATAATGTCTTTTCAGTCCTTGTATGACATAATATTCAATTTTATTTTTGTAATATTAAAGTGATATATAGTATATATTAGTTTCTTCAAACAGATCTCTTCGGTTTTTTTCCTGCTCTTAACAGGTCTCTCAAGTTCCAAATATGATTTTAATTTGCGATATAACATGTAGTCTACGTCTTTTACATTCATATTCAAACATGATGCAAAAATGATGATAATTATTACAAATCAATTAACTTGTCATTTTGATGTCATTTTCTTAATAATTAATAATTATTGAGTATATATCCCCGTGGATAATTATTCATCAAGTTAAAACGATCGAATTATTTCATAAATTATCTAAATTGATAATACAAATTAACGTAAAACAAAATGGTAATAAATGAAGTGATCTCTATTTTTATAATATAACTATATGTTTTCTTACTTAATCGAACAAAAGATTAGAAGGTTGTACTGGCATAATTCATATATTAATGATCATCATCGTTCATTGTGATGTCCACTATAGCAGCTGCCTAAATGAGTTACAGGGTGATGTTGGATTGATTTGAACACCAATCTAGTGAAAGTGATTAATCAAAAACTATGTAGTAAGGGAATTTAATCATTAAGGTATAATCTACAAACGAATGGAAAAGAAACATAGGGAGAAGAGAAAAGTGATAATCATGTGAAAGAGAGTCATACAAGCTAAATTAAGCAAACTTTGTTTTGTTCCTCTTTTTTTCCTTTTCTCACCCTCTCTTTTCATCTTTTTCTTTGTTATTCCTTTTCTTTGTAATTTAAACTTTTTTTCCTCTTTTTCTTTTTGGAATGAATTTAGGGTTTATAAAAAGGAGAAATCTACCTTGGGTTTCAGTTAAAAGCAAAGCATAGAGAGCGTGTGGGAAGCTAAAGATAACCATTCCAAAGTTTTCACCTTTCTATTCTTCCTCATGTGATGAATATTTTAGTTAGTTTATGTTTAAAAATTATAGCATTTTCTATTTTCTTGGAATTGTTGGAATTGCGTAGGTCGTCGTTGTCATAAAACAAAAATTGTTTCCCTTTCCACAAAATTAGTGCAACTCAAATTATGTTATGACATCACTGATATGACAAATTTATATGACTTTAATCATTCAGTTAATTGATGTAAAAAATCAATCTATTAATTATAGGACCGATCTATTTTTAAAAATTCTATTGGTTTTAGTGAAGAATATAAAAAAAAAAGAGTGAAAAGAGAAAATAAAAGGTGGAATGTAAATAAAGAAAAGAACAATAAAAATGTTTTAAAACACAAATAAAGGATTTACTTTTCTCCTCCAAAGAAAACAAAAGAGTGCAAAGAAAGAAAGAAAAAAGAAAGCCTTACTTACCAATTACCACTTTTGATTTTGTTTTTCTTTCTCTTTTTTTTTCCTCTTTTATCTTTCCATTTTCTTTATCCCTTTGCTTTTCTTCTCCTTTCTTAACCTAAGTTCTTCTAGCCCCCCATGTCCACACAAACACATTCTCTCTCCTCGCTCTCACACACACTCAAGTGTCATTTTCTCACATATACTTCACACAAAAGAAACAACCATTTACTACATACTACCTTGTCATTGATTTTTCTCTCTCTATATCTCTAAAATCTTTGCAAAAACAACTGAAATCAAACAATAGAAATAACATTCTCAACAAAACCCAGAAATCTCTTCCTCAAATCCTTAATACCCATTTTCTTTTTCCTTCCTTCCCTCGAGAAGCAAAAAAAAGAAACGTTTTTTTTGTTCTTTGTCCTGATTCAAGAAAACAAGAACTAGGGTTCATCTCTGGAAACCAACTGAAGAACCTGTTGAAGAAGAAGTCAAGAAGAAAAAGAAGACAAGAAAAAAGAAGAAGAAGAAGAAGAAATTGAAGCTCTCTTTAATGGAGCTTTTTCCTGCTCAACCGGATTTATCCTTACAAATTAGTCCTCCAAACAGCAAACCGTCATCAACATGGCAGAAAAGAAGATCAACAACAGATCAAGAAGGTCATGAGGAACTCGATTTAGGGTTTTGGAGAAGAGCTCTTGATTCAAGAACATCTTCGCTCGTCTCTAATTCCAGCTCAAAAACAACCAATAATCATCATCATCATCCACTCGAAGACCTCTCGCTCTCTAACAACTCTCATCATCAACACCATCCACACCTTCTCCCAAGTTGCAACAGCTCTAACATCTTGACCTCTTTCCAGTTTCAGACACAACAACAACAACAATTACAAGGTTTTCTTGCTCATGACCTTAATACTCACTTAAGACCAATAAGAGGGATCCCTCTTTACCAAAACCCTCCTCCAAATCATCACCACCGTCCGCCGCCGTGTTTCCCTTTCGATCCGTCGTCTCTAATTCCATCTTCTTCGCCGGCTCCTACCGGAATCAACAACAACAATAGCTTTGGTACAAGTGGCGTTAGCAACTCCGGTTTAATTACAAACCCTAGTTACCACAATCATCAACATCAACATCATCATCAGACACTGAACAGAACGAGATTCATGCCGAGATTTCCTGCTAAACGAAGCATGAGAGCTCCTCGGATGCGATGGACCACCACTCTCCATGCCCGGTTTGTTCACGCCGTTGAATTGCTCGGTGGCCATGAAAGTATGTTCCTTTTAGCTTAAAGCTTTTTCCACTTCTTAATTTACCCTTTTTAAAAATTGTTTATTAATGGGTTCTTGTTCATTATTTTCACTTGAATCAATCGTTAGGAGCAACACCCAAATCAGTTCTTGAGCTCATGGATGTCAAAGATCTCACCTTGGCCCATGTTAAGTCTCATTTACAGGTAAATTTCTTTGATTTTTTTTTTTTAAAGAATTTCTCTGATGATTGTTATATTCATTTATCTATATATAAGTATATAATTAGTGAATAATAATTATCTCGGGTATCGATGCATTTGACTCGGTGACTTCCTTAAATCAGAGTTTCACTCGAGTCAGAACAGATCGAATCTTGTTTTCTTCTGATCCTTCCTTTTTTATTCTTATCTTAATTAATTCCGATTTTGCTCACCAATAATGCAATCGTTGGATGAGTTAAGACAAAAGAAAAAAAATGTATATAAACATTCCATACATGTAAAAATAAATACTTTTTTTCTTCTCTGCTAGATCTGATGGTCCTTATAGACGATAGACAGTCTTTTTTTTTGCAAGTCTAAAATTTCTTTTCGCCTTGGAAGAATAAACTTGTTCTGTTACAAGTAAACCAAAAATTACTCAATATTACTATTACTGACACACATAGAATAGAAAGTTAGAGAGAGACAGCGAGAGATATGGAAATTACGTATGTAACTGCGCTAATTAAATAGAAAAAAAATCTCTTAAAGAAATTCAAGAAAAAACATTACTACTTTTGGTTTCTTATCATCCTTTTTTTTTCTTGGGCTATACACCAAAATTTAGACTTTATTTCTACATAATCATATGGTTTTTACATTTTTTTACAATTATTCGAATCAAGTATTAGTGAGCTATATATAATATTTTGTAATGTGTAAATAGATACTACGTAGATATGTTTGCCTTAGAGCACAAAATCTTAGGAAAATCTAATTAGGGATAAATACCCAATTTAATGTATATTTCCCTAGGAAAAATAGTTTTAATATTAAAAAAATAGAATAATCAGAAAGGGAGAGTACAAGAAACATCATCATTTCTCAATGATGAAATGGTTTTGGTTTTACATACAGTCACGGTGAGAGAGAGAGACAGACAGAGGGTTTATTTAACTTAACCATGGTTCCACTTCTCCATATGTTTAATGGGCTATGTTTCAACCATGGTTAGACACATAAATTCATGCATGGGTACATGAAAATCGCAAACTTCATTAATAATGTCAATTAATGCTTCTGTGTCTGAACAGTTCTATATTGTTTTTCTCTTTTTTTATCTTCCAATGTGTCTGTACGTATGTGTGTATATATATATAATTATCTATATATATATTATATTACAACTTTATATTTTGAAATTTTGTTAGTACTGTTCAAATGTGTCGGAATACAACAGTACATTGGTCTCCTTTCTTTGGTCTCTTCTTCCTTTGTCATATAATTCGATACATGCATCCATGATCCATATATAAACGGAGGTTCAGACGAAATATAATTTAGAGTTTGCTTTTTGACGAAAATCGAAATAATGATATTGTTTGTACATGCAACTTTTTAATTATTTTGTTGAAGTATTTTTTTTTTATAATATCAGATGTACAGAACAGTGAAGACAACCGACAAAGCAGCAGCTTCGTCAGGTTAGTGTTAGAGAAATAATTTAGATCCTTTTGGGTTGAGATGATTGTATTGATAAGAGAATTTAATAAATAAAATGTGATTCGGATATAGAAACCCTAATTGTTTCTTTTTCTTTTCTAAATGTGATTCAGGACAATCTGATGTTTATGAAAATGGATCTTCAGGAGATAATAACTCAGACGATTGGATGTTCGATATGAATCGAAAATCTAGAGATAGCGATGAATTGACGAATCCTCTAGAGAAATCAAATGGTCTGTGGACCAATTCGTCCGGGTACGTACATATATATACGGTCTATCTATACATACATTCATGTCTCTATATATATATAATGTGGAATCTCGCTTATGCATGTGCATGCCACTATATATATATATATTCTGTATACACGTTAAAAATAAAAGTATAAGACTTAAAATGAATTTAAGTTTTAAAAGAATTAGGTTCGGTTTATGTTTCTGCTTTGCATTTCTGTTTTGTCTCTTTCGCCACAACCACAAATCCAATGGATCGGGTTGAGACAAAACACATGATGGGTTAATCATCATGTTTTGTTCTCTCTCTCCCTCTGCAATAAACAATGAGAGAGAAAGTTAATTAAAGATAATTACCAAAAAAAGAGAAGAATTAGCCACAGATTTATACCATCCTATTCATATTTTCAGTCTGGATCAGTCTAGTAGCTAAATACAATAAAAGAGATATATCTAACATATAATTATCTTCACAATTTTGTGGATTTTCTATTACGTAACGCATGAGTATGTAATATACGATTCTGCATGGGGCGTATATTAGTTTTTATTAATAGTCTGTAATGTCGTGGGACTACTAAATTAGCCAACGGATACTTTAACAAAACAAATTATCTTATGAATTTGGCTAATGGGTAGAAAAAACTTAACTACAAAACCAGAGCCGTGCTTACTATGTAGTGAAAAAGGTTTTCGCCTCAAGCCCCCAATATATGTAAAATTTTTAGGATCTCCATTTTCTTTAAGAAGTGGTTAAGTGGTTTAAAATTAGTGTGAGTTTTTTTTTACATAAGATGTTTTTTTATTTTTGTTTATAAAACAAAAAAATAAATAAATAGATTTAAAATTAAATGGCCTAGCTATCATATCTATAGAAAGAGAACTAGTTAGGAACTTCGATTATGAGAGTTTGGTGAAAGAGTTTATTGAAAAAGAAGGAAGAAAAATTATGTTTTAATTAGTATTTTTTAGATTAAGATTTTATTTTTGAATATTTTATATGATTTTAAATTATATTATATTTTTTTGTTAAAAATCTCTATTTTTTTTTAAACTAAAAAATCCCCATTTTTTAAGTTTGCCTTAAGCCCTTATAAACCTTCGCACGACACTGTACAAAGCTGAATTCTAGAGTGGTTCTTTACATGAAAATGATAGTCAATTATTTTAAAACTTGTATGCATGTAATTCTAATTATTATATAACATAATCGAGTGCGTTTATTTTGCTAGATAATCACTAAGCAAAAGATAAACTTCAGATAAACTATTTTCAATTAGAATATGACATATTTCTCCAGATTATTTCGAGATATTTAGGTAAATTAAATGTCTTTTACACGTGAACAAATGAGCAAACACATGGGTTGGATGAAAAGATTGATTTTTCAACTTTATACTAAGATAAAGTAAAAAAATATACCAGAATATAAATAACAAAGTTCTATATTTTGCTTACGTTAAACATACAGCCATGCCAGTCGACAGAGATGAAAACAACTTTGTTATTACCAAAAGAGAAATGCTTTGTTTTCTTTCGTCTTGTAATTTCTCATCATCCTTTTTCACTTTTCTTCCTCTTTTTTTTTTTATTTCTTTGATTATTATATTTATTTCCTTAAAGCGAATATCATATATATTGCTTTAATATTACTAAGCTTTTGTTGGCTTTTGCAGAGAAGCACGTTTGCATGGGAAGCTAATCGATAATGTTGCAGAAATTATGCTACCTTCTGAGGTACGATACATCTCTTTCTGCAAATATAACTATGTAGGCGAATATGTGTATGTAAATATTGTACTAATATCAGTTTTATTATATGCATTGTCGATTTCTTTTCATTGCTAAGTCACCCGAAAACCTCAAAAGGGGTGCCACAAAAAGGACTTTCATTAAAGCTTGCTTTAGGAATTTTCAAAAGCAAAGGGTATTTTCGTTACTTAGCCATTTATTAGGAAAAATAAAGAAAACCTAACACCATTGAGTCATTGACATTGACCATGATGAGTTTTTGTTTTGACCTTTGACACGCTTATATTGTGACATGTGCAAGCTTAAGCCTTGAGGTGCGGTTATCTAAGTTTGGCTTCTAGGCCAATATGGGCAAAAGCAAAACCATGGCAGCTACCATTGAACAATTGGAATATATATATATATATATATATATATTGTGTCAATGTCAAATACTAGTACTTAGGATGATAAATACGCTAAGCTTTGATCTTAGTACTGATGTCTTAATTATAGATAATACAATAACCTTAAACCCTAGGTAAATATTAAAATCCCTTTCACTTAGTGTTGCATACTTTTTTTTTATCATGACTTAAATTAAGAGATATATAAAAAAATCCCGTTGAAATGAATAATTTTTTTTTTGAAATAAAATATTATTACGGTGGAAGTATATGTTGCATGAGCTTAGTCCGTAGTTAAGTTCACGTTCATGGTCATCTATATTCACATGCTTATCAATTTATCATACACATGTACATATAAGTGATTGATGTTAATTAACTGTTTTTTTTTGGAATAAATTAAACAGAAGGAAGTAGATGGAAAGTGCTCAAGTTATGAGAGGATATCGTCAGAGGAGATGAGCTCATCAAGCATATCGGGAACAAGCCCCTTCAAGCCTAACCTTGAGTTCACTTTGGGTCGATCTCACTAAAATTTATTGTTGTAGCTAGCTAGTAATTAATTAGTATTAATTAACTTCTATTTTGGCTAATGACTAGTTTCTTAATTCATATCAATTGAATAAGTTTTTGTTTTAAGCTTAGAAATCAACGTCCTCTCGGAAGGTTGAAAAAATACTGTTCTTTTGCCTTCTCTATGGAGAAGAGCTAGTGAAAGTATCGACTACTAGAGGCACAATAAATGTTATGTTTCTTTTGTTGAACTTTATTTACAGGGATGGAAATATGAATACAGAATAACAATAGAGAAAAAGGAAAGACATAAAAGAAGAAAAAGCAGAAAAAAAGAAAAAAGGGGAAAAGGTTTAAAAGGAAGACAAAAGAGGACATGAAGGAAAAGGAAAGCAAACAAATTAAAGAGAATGGTTAAAGTTCAAAAAGAAAAGAATATAGTTTTTCTACTGATAAATGTTGATTTTATTTTGTTAAGAAAAAATGGATGTAAATTATGGTTAATATATGATTAATGATTACCTTTATGATTGCCCTTAAGATTTTAGAGTGGGTATAAAGCATATGAACTGTCTGTCACCATAAGCTTTTCGAAAAGATAATTAACTTATACAATAAAGCAAAGAATATCTCTTTATTCTCGTAAAAAGAAAACAATATCTCGTATGTTTTTAGGTCCAAAAGTATTAATTTTGGGACTTGTTTCTTGAGATACATATATATGCATATATCAAGATGTATACTAAAGTTCATTGAATATATCATAGGGGAAAAGTAAAAGACATAAAAGAGAAACATAGAATAATTTTTAGGTAGATTCCCACCAAAGAATATTTAGTTCATTGCTTTCACTTATGAAGTGTTTTATGTTTCCTTACTCGTGAACACTCTATTTTCGGTTTGTTGTCCTAATCGAGCCCACATAATTCTGTTAAGAATAACAATTTCTATCCATCCGACAATCAAAATGACCAATACAGGAGCTGAGCATATATATAGAGATCAAATTAATTACTGATTTGTGATGGATTTAATGTTTTATTTTTACTGAAATGTAAAATAATGGAATTTATTGATGCATTATAAACAACTTATGGATTATTTGAATTGACGGTAAATTGGCGTTTCTTTCAAAGGATAACTTTCATAATCTGACTAAGTTTTACGATGTGTAAATACTAAAACAGTAATTGATATAAGGATAAGATAAACTCTATCTACTATATTAATATAACTAATATAGTATAGTTTTTTTCGGTTGGTACTGTGGTGAAAGTTCTTTATTCCTATAATTTTTGTGGGGTAGATTTGTAATGGATTAAATATATATATTAAAAAAATCAGTTTGTGTATAGATACGTTCCTAGAATGTTCATAGTGGTTACAAACTCTAAGTTGCTCTGTGTTTATGACATAAATCGGAGAACAATATTAAAGAAGAAGAAGTTACAAAACAAGTAAAGAAAATTATGACAATGTTTTGTTTATTTAGTATATTCAGTTGCAACAAAAAGTGGAGATTTCATTTGTGCTCAAACTCCAACGACGTAAAGCAAACCATACTAAATCAAGATCAATAACTCACAATTTGTCACTTTGATTTGGAGTTCAAATGCTTAAATATCTGCTTTTATTCTATTTTTTTCCAATATAGATTTTGCTTGACACTTTTACATTTTTCCCCAAACTCGACGAATCTTGAACAAGCTTAAGCAAAACTCAACCCGATTTCCATGTAAGGGTTTAGTTAACATGTATCATGAAGTTTCTGATGTATACATAATACACCGCACCTAATAGCTAGATTTTTAGTTTCTCCTTTTAAACTTATATCCCAAATGAAATACAACAATTAATAAACAAATTAATAGATTCAATAACTTAACAACAACAAGAAAACTTATCCAATTTCACTGTGACCGTGAATATTTAGTCAAGTCTTCTGATTAATATCGAAACATGTTGCCGAAGTCCTCCAAAGAATATCGAAATAGAAATTAATATCGTAATCATCAAAACTCTTGAAGAAAAATCTAAGTATGGTGGTCTTCATTGTATGGGTAGTCGCATTTGACAATTGAAACACGGCCTTGTGTCACTGTCATGTCACGTGCAGAGTGAAACATCCGAAACATTTTTGTTCCAATATATAATAAATTTATAAATAAAATTCAAGTTTTGAAAGCAAAACAGAATATGAAAGGCATGCAAAAGGTAGTAATCATTCACCAATAATTGCAACATACACCCACCCACTCATCTAAACTATTAAATGTTCATACCAAATGAATAAATTTTATTTTTACTAATTCATAACGCTGCATGAAACGTAAATCTAACATATTTAAAAATTCTAAAATGAGTCTAAAATTGAGCTAAATAAAAAATGTAATTTGCCAACGTAAAGTTTGATTAGATTTTACATGACACACATATATATATATATACAAGTTCCAAGTTTTTGTTCACAAGTTCAAGGTTGTAGGCATGACAAATAATATACAATATATATATATATATATATATATATAAATAGAAAATAGTGACATAAGAAGAATGGCACAAGTTAGTAGATCCACAAGAATCAGAAGGAGAATTATGGGAAAAAGAGAACAATTGGTCTCACTCTCTCTCTCTTAGCTAAAAGCCTTTCATCTGTCCTTTCTCCTTGGGCTACCCCAAATTTATTGACTTTCCTCTTAGATTATTATTACTTTCAAACATAGTATATATTACAAAAAATGTATTACATTGAGTAACAGAAGAAAAGAAAGAAGTGTATTGTTCGAAATTGCCTAAAAATGAAATAATCTCCCTCTAATATTACATATAAGTAACCGAATTTATGTAAATGTAAGTACTTTTAACATGAGCTATAAGCTATTACTGTTTATCCATTAAACATTTTTTCATATATGTTTTTTTTGTTATAAAATGGTTTTTTTTTTGCCTCGCTTCTGTCACTCTCTCTCTTTCTCTCTGCGTTTGAGAAAACACTGCTCGATACTATTATTTACTGTCGTACGAACAGAAGAGCACAAAGTCCACAGAATGTCAAAAGTATATATTATTAATCCATCATTACATTATCATTTCAACTTTGGACTTTCATACACACTCTCTCATCCACGTGTCGTAATCTTAACGATTGATTTGTTGGGTCTCTGCTGCTCTGCCAGCCGTCAGATCGGATATTGCCAAATGTTGCAAAGATGTTAGACTGATCAACAAGAAAGTGACCAGTAAAGTTGACGCTCCTTGTTTTCACCTTCAAGAGAAATCTCTTTCTGCATCCCTTTTTATTTTTGTCTTTAACATATATATAGCCTGTAATTCCAAAAAAAATATAACCTCACAAAAGGAAAGTTTTTGATTAACAAAATATGAGCATTTTAAGAAATTTCTTTTTTTTTCGTAAAATTATATCATTTGCTTGAACTAAAGAATATGTATAATAAACATTGACCACTCATAAATCTATTGATTAAACAAACATAACGAGACTGCATTTTTGTAAGAAGTCGTTTTAGTCCTTCAAAATTACTAAGACTTGCCCTGCATTTACAGTGAAAAAGAATTTAGTCAACACATGTATAATCTATACTCCTAGACGGAAGTATTAATTATGAAAGTAAATGTAAAAACAAACTTTTAACCAAGAAATGTAAAAGAAAAAGAGCAAAGGAAGAGACTATTTCTCATGAAATTTTGCAGTGTTAATTGAGTAGCTCGAGGAGCTTTTGCATGGGGAGAAGCTGTGGTTTGGGTCCCATCAACGTTAATTCAAACGTCAATATGAGAGAGAGAGGAGGATGAATGTATGGGTACATAAGATTTTGTCAAAACTTATACAATAATGTCCATCAATTTTCTAATATTTGACATAGAGACATTGTTTATTAATTTGATGATGATATATAATATATATATATACAAAAACAAGAGTAAAGAAAAAAGAATAACGCAGAAAAGTGGAGAAGACATAGATATAACAAAAAATAATTGTTCTCTTACAGGACAACGGATAATAAGGCGAAATTCTCGCGGGAACCAACGCCTCCTCCTTCTTTCTATCCCTTCCGTAATTTATAATCAGACAAAAGAGATACGTACAAACACAAATACTCTCTCATATACAAATTTTTTTTGGTTAAAGCAATTACTCATATATTTATCGGGTTTATTTACATTCAAAATTTAAGACAGCAAATTTATTTATTTTGTCTACTGTATTTAATCACTATAGTAGTTGACAAAAAAAGCATTTACAATAGTTATTATGTAACATATATTGATATACATTTTCTCAAAAAAAGAAGAACATATAGTATTACTCTAGACGCAAATTCTACGACGATACTGAAACTAAAAGTGTAGGAAGGTTTATGTAACCTTTTTATATAAAAAAATTCCAAAGTTTCAGTCAATTTCGATTTCATTTTTTATCTTACATTCATACATAAACACACATATTATTGAATTTTGTAAAATCATGAGATAAAAAGATCCAATACCATATTGGTTAAGGATGTTCCATCATTTTCTTTTTAAACTCGAAACAAGAAGTAATTGGTGATGATGATGTAGATGTTGTAGTCCATATTTTGGGGGTTAAGAAGTAATAAAACAAAAATGAAGTTACCAAAAATTAAATATCGGAAAAAAGTCAAAAGGACTAAAATAAGAAAAGAGGTGTTGGGAAAATGTCAGACGGTGGCGGAAGAAATGACGTGTCAAGAGGAAGGAGGTGGGACCCAAGAAGGATATGGTCAAAAAAAAAACGAATGACTGTCACGAGTTGTAGTAAGTAAGTAGGGGACCAATCAACGACAAAACTTCCCCTATCGCTTTGTAATCTAATTGATGCTTCTTTCACAGTCCTGTCACTGTATCACTTTCTCCCTTTCCTCCTCCTTTTCTTCCAAATCCTTCCCCAAAACAAAAAAATTCCTATATCATACATAAGAATTGTCAATTCAGCTGGTGTAAAAAAAAAAAACAAAAATTTTCAATTCAATTTAATCTATTTTTTCTCAATTTTTATTTTTCGAAAATCATGTTTACACTATAATGTACATGTTTTTGTTGTTGTCGTTGATGGTTGATATCTCTCAAGGCCTTCAAAT